ATTGCCTTAGGAGCGTTTTTTTATCTTTTAGTTGCTTTTTCAAAATGCCTTTATTATTTGAAGTAGTTGAAGTTGTTGGCATTTTGAAAAAGCATTCAAAAGATAAAAAACGCTGCTAAGACTATCAAAATGTTAATCTAATAACAATTTGACGTTTATACTATTACGTCAAAAGCAACTTTTTTCCAAAGCCTAACTAAAAAAAATTAAAAAATTATTTTTTTACTACGTTATTGAAGTGCATTTTGACTGAACAGGTAAGATTAACAGGCAAAACCTTATGTGTAGACAGGGCTTGAGGGGTTAAGTTATTAAAATAATACCATCAAGTTTATATAATAAATATTGTGTATATTTTTAAAAAATCATTACAAATGACGCATAGATTCGTCGTAAACATATCAAAAAGCATCGTTTACTTTTCCACAATACAATATTTTTATATTAAATACATGTTTTTGTGACGTACACACTGTAAGCACATGTTATGTTTTTCTTAATTTAAAAAAATAATAAATGCATTTTTTATTACAAAGGATTAAAGCAAATTAACTTCTTTTACTAATTTATCTTTTTAATTATTTGCAAAATTAAAATTACTTACAAAATTGCTTAAAGGCTTACTAGTTTGCTTTAAATATTATAAAAACAAAAAATCTTAAAAAGTTTTATTATACCATTATTTTTTTTACTTAAATCACAGATACTCTTAACATATTAAAATTAATGAAATTTTTCCTAGAAAAACAAATGGAAAAAAATACAATCAATTTATTGAAGCAAACTCAAACTAAATAATACATGAAATAATAATATACACAAAATGTAATAATAATTAGAGAAAGTAAACAAAAAACAACCTTTCTTTAGTGTTAAAAATTTTCACAACAATGTTGTTCAGTAAATATATTCCACTAATTACTGTAGAGTTTTTTTTTATTTGAGGCATACTCTTTAAAATACATAAAATGGTCCTTCAGTTTTTATGTCTAATTTAAAAAAAATATAGTCTCTCCCACAATACACGAATAACAGTATGCTGTGATGCAAGCTATGACGTCATGTGGTTTACTGTGAATGACATGACGTAACAATCGGCGCCATTTTTGTTTATAATATGAAAAAAAAAGCAAATATGTATATGTAAAGTGAATCTACAAAATCCATTTCTCAAGATTCATATACAGGGTTTCAAATAATGCAGGGCGAAATTTCAGATGGAGATTCGTCTTTAGATAATATGAAAAATAGTTCCTATAAATGTGGCTCCATAAATGAATAGTTTTAAAGATAGAGGATGTTAAACCTTTAAAAAATAGTTCTTTGTAATTATCTTAAATGGTCTTATTTGCTGTAGGTTGTGGTGAACCAAGAACAGTTAACCTAATAGGACTGCTCATTTAGCCGATATCGTCTGCCAGGTGCATGCGAAAACTCCTCGCTCTGTGACGTCATTGTAGTCCTTGTCAGGACAGTGTGTGTATTATTGGCTGCCGTATGCAAAACATGCATTACTTAGTTTATTTATTTAAACACCTTATATGTATGCAGTATAGAAAATTAACTGTATAAATCGTATTAAATACTCGGATAATCCATTTTTAAGAACAGTAGTTCCCAGCATCACGTTATGCAGGCATTTTTTTTAGAGTACTTCCATATTTTTCTTTAAAATAATTACTAAACAATAACGTAGGCACTTAGTAAGCACTTAGTCACAATCCACAACAAAAAATGGACGTATTTATATACTCTATAGCTCTAAAAACTTTAAAAACACCTTTTTCACATTTAAAATCGACAAAATAATTAACTCAAAATTTCTCAGCTGTTATTTTTATAAGTTTACCATAGGCCATAGGCAACCAACAATACACACTATCATGACAAGGACTACAATGACGTCACAACCGTCAGCTGAAGCGCGGGAAGAGGCGAACGTACGCCTTATGAGGATGAGCAATCCTATTAATTGACCGTTTTTGGTGGTGAACATCAATGATATAAAAAAATACCAATTTATTGTAATTTGATAAAATATTTGAATATTTTACTCTGACCGTAAATTGAAATTTAATTTTTTAATTTTTTTAAAAAAAGGCCAGAGATCTACAACGTGTTTGTTTTTTTAATCGCGGAAAAAGTTTTAGATAGGCATATGATATAAAAGAAACAGGTCAAATAAAACTTTTTTTTCTCTTATATTATCATATCCCTGTTAGTTGCTTAATCTAAAAAAATTGCAGAAAAGTCAGTGGCGTACATTTTTTCACATAAGGTGTAATATTTTGTTTAATTATAGACAAATTCCAAGAAAGTCTGCTAAAGGGAATTTAAGATAACTTCAAAAAAAAATTATTATTTTTAAAAGTTTAGTGTCCTGTGTCTTTAAAAATACGTTTCTGGGTCCATAGACCCATGTTTGTAGGAACTTTTTTTAATATTTTTTGATGAGGAATCACCCTCTTAAAATTTGGTCGTGCATTTTTCGAACATCCTGTATAATAAATTCTGTTCCCTTTGTATTTTTTTGTAACGTTTTTGACGGTATCATTTTTTATTACTAAAAAACGTTGAAAATCCATTCTCCAAAAAATAAACAAGTTTATACAGGGTGTCCCAGAAATAAGTGCAAATATTTTAACTGGTAGTATAGTTCAACCCCAGAAACACGCCTATGAGGTTTTTTTTGCGAAAAAAAAATGTTGAAAATTTAAAATTTTTCTTGACATTTTCCGGGAAATTCGAAAAAACTTTTTAGTGCCACTTGTTTATTCACCTGAGATTTCCCTACGGTGTATGTAAACCTTGCAGTGTTGCAACCTCCTATGTTATCCACATTCTACATAGTTCGGCGGAACATAGTTCTACATTTTTAAATTCATAGACAAATTTCTACTCAAAAAATTAGGAATGTTAAATTTAATCTTTTATCAGTGCTCATTATTAATAATTATAGAAAAAAAACACATTAATTATTTTTAGTACTTACCCTTTCAATGAAAACTTAACAAAAACCACCGAAAATTAACTAAAACATTACGTTTATGACATTTACGAAAATCTTTGTTATGCTGCAAAATAGCTTTATTTTGGAATAAATTTAATAAAATGATTCATATTATTCACAATCAGGTCACAAAAAGAAATTCCTAAAATGTTTATCGTAATTTAGAATTCAATTCAAGAAATTTAGAAAACAGCCCAATGAATAATTGATTCACTTTTGTTTTGTTTGTTTTCTTTCATGTTTCTCTGTTTTATTTGAACCACTGTTTTACAAAACACCTTGAAAAGCGTACATTACTTTGAATACCTTTCTGAATGAATAAATGTTGAGAATTATTGTCTCTTATCGCCACTTCACGAACTACTTTCAATCTAAGAAAATACATGTTTCACTCAACAATTATTGACAACGTATTTTGTTTTTTCGCTATTTTTTCGATGTATTTCGACAATTCCATCGACAGCTTAACCGGTCGTTCTTCTCTGGCCTAACCGTCAGCCAAGAACCGCCGCGTGTGAACTGGTCCTTTGAGTCGCCGGTCGCCGCGCCGTCGTGGCGGGCTTGCGTCAGACGACGATGTTAAGCAACGTTGCCGTAGTTACAACAATTTCAAATTCAAGACATTCGAAGCAATCAAATTCGTATTAAATTTTAAAAATAAAACAGAGAAACACGAAAGGAAATAAACAAAACAAAAATGAATTGATTATTCGTCGGGCTGTTTTCGATGTATTGAATTCTGAATTACGATAAACATTTTAGAAATTTCTTTTTTGTGACCTGATCAATAACCAATTCATTCGTGTTTTGTTTGTTTCCTTTCATGTTTTTCTGTTTTATTTTTAAAATTTAATACGAATTTGATTGCTTCGAGTGTCTTAAATTTGAAATTGTTGAAACTACAGTTACCAGTGATGCGCCGCTCTCTTATCCGGCGGCCGACTTGACGATTGGGCTGTCGATGGAATTGTTGAAATACATAGAAAAAATAGCGAAAAAACAAAATACGTATTTAAAATTGTTGAGTGAAACATGTATTTTCTTAGATTGAAAGTAGTTCGGAAAGTGGCGGTAAGAGACAATAATTCTCAACATTTATTCATTCAGAAAGGTATTCAAAGTAATGTGTGCTTTTCAAGGTGTTTTGTAAATCAGTGATTCAAATTGTGATGAGGCCTATATGAAAATAATGTGTTAAAAATGGGGACTGTTATTTTAGTAGTTATTATAATAACTACAGCATGTACAAGTAAAGCAGCACAGTGAAGTGTATTTTAGTTAAGTGTATATCGAAAAAGAGAACTGTCACAGTTACATCGATCTGTCATAAGTATCTTTTTTAATGTTGGGTAAGTTTTTTAATTTAACTTTTTTAACACATTTTTTAACACATTATTAAACATTTAACTTTTAATTTATTTTATCTAATAATATCACAATCTTTAAATGTAATGCATCTCTGCAAACTCCTCAGGTGTTGTGATTTTATGACTTACTTTTAACATATACTTTCTTGTCCCTATGGCAACACAGTGCGCCGAATTAACTGAAATCCGGGTTTGATCCGGGTAATTGGATGTAGTTGGCGATATCTGCTGGCGGTTCTCAAAATGTTGCGATGATTTTTTTAAATTTTCAAAGTTAAATAACTCGGTTATTTTCAATTTATTTTAAAAATGGTAAAGAGAAAATATGTTTACTTTGACCAGATCTACCACCCCTTAAAATATCTGCACTCATTTCTGGGACACCCTGTATAGCTGTATAAGTATCTATGTTTATAGGGCGTCGCAATATTTCGTGGACATAGAACTACTACGTATTTTGGAATTAAAATAAGTTCATTAGACACAATTTATCTCTATACAATAGTGCTTCGTGCTTGTCCGTTAGAGGGTATCAAACTTTAAAAAAAAACACATTTTTTTCAGATATTTTAAGAACCGATATTTCGATTTAAATGAGATTTTGGGTGTCTATGTTTTGCTAAGTGCTCTAACATTTGACTTAAAATATGGGAAGGATGAAAACTACTTGTGTTTATTGTGTTTATTTTTTTCAAGTTAGTTTGATGCTCTAGCGGACAAACGAAGCACTTTTGAATAGAGATAAACTGTGCCGAATAAACTTATTTTGATGCCAAAAAAAACGTAGTAGTTCTATGTCCACGGAATACTGACACACCCTGTATGATATTTAAACAGAAAAGACAAAATTAAAAAAAAGTATGGGGAGTTTCGAAATAAATGCCACGTAAATCTGTATTCGCAATTTGGTCCAGTATGTTACATACCGTTAGTACATGTATCGTGGTTTCTACATTCCTTAAATTGTAAGTGCATTCCTTAAAACAATCCTTACAAAGTTTGAAAAATTGGAATGCTGGAATTAGATACTTTATAAAACTAAATTATCCAAATACTTGATAATATTGGTTCTAAAATGGAATGACTCGGTTGAACTTAATAATATAAACAGTAGGATAATATGTAAACATAATACGGAGTTCTAAAATATTGAGGAGTTTTTAAAACCATCATCAGTCTCTCAGAAAAGCATGTCGGTTGTACCACCCGAGCTGAAAGCTACTGGTTGGTCGACTTCTTCCAGAATAACTTCAGACATCTCGGGTACTTCGGTGACGTCAGGTTTGGGAGATGGTGGCGGTGGTGCTTTAGTTACACCCAACTGGAATTCCTCGGTTGATTTTGGTATGTATGTGGCTAGAGTTGACCCTAAATAATAGAAGTAATACGATTTAGTTATAGTAGAGAGAGTTAATAGAAATAACAAACTACTTCAAAGGCAGTGTTTTCGAAAATAGAGAACTTCAGTAAATGGTGGCGCGTGAGTACGAGCCCTAACAACTATATGTTGGAACAAGGTCATATTATGGAATTATTGCCATGGTTTTTCAAAATGACTGAAAAATATATGTTTAATTTTTTAAATATAAACATAGCCATATATCCTAAACAACTTGACAATAGTTTTATGAATTTGTAAATCAATCCATATTTACAGTAGCGGATTTTGTTCATAAAAGGACAAATTTGCTGACAACTAAATGTTGGGACAAGTATTTTTAAATAATTAATATCATCCTAGGCGGCTTTGCTATAAACGTCACAAATGTCGCAAACTGTTTACTTCAGCATTGACTGTAAGGGACTCGATACTTCGAAATTTTAATTTTTTTAATTTTCAATTTTGTTAATTTAATCCAAAGTAATGGTCCGTGGAAAAGCTACAAATCAAAAACTACGCGAAATTATCATTCGTCAATAAAAACAATTCGAACAATTTCTGATGATTTAAGTATTCCAAAAACCTCGGTATTTAATATAATAAAAAAATACGGCGAATCTGTCAATGTGAACGATAGAGGTAAAAGTTCGGGAAGGCCAAAAGTTTGTATCTCAGAGAGATTTACGAAATTTAGTAAAAATTTGCAAGTCTGCGAGAAGAAGTACTCTTCGCGAAGTAACAGATAAATGGAATACTGTAACTGGTTTAAATATATCAAGAGAATATTGCCGAAAATATATCCACAAATGCGGTCTGGGGTTTTACAAGGTAAACTTTATTTTGTGTGGATACTCAATTACCTGAAGATTATTGATACAAATTCTTATTTAGGCCAAAGGAAAACCGCTACTGACAGAAATTCAAAAGAAAAATCGCTACAATTGGGCAAAATCTAAATTATCGTGGACACAAAATGATTGGAATAAGATCATATTTAGCGATGAGTCTAAATTTGATGTGTGCGTTGGAGATCATCGAAAACGAATAATACGAAATAAAGCAGAAGCCTTTCATAAAGATTGCTTAAAGAGGGTTGTTAAATTTCCTAAGGGGATTATGGTTTGGGGTTGCATGTCAGCAAGAGGTTTGGGCAAATTAATTTTTATAAATGGCACTGTTAACGCCCAAAAATATCAACATATTCCTGAGACCTCACTTTTGCCTAGTGCTCAAGAATTGTTTCCAAACGAAGACTATATTTTCCAACAAGATGGAGCATCGTGCCATTCAGCAAGATCAACTAAAAATTGGTTCGGTAATAATAATATAAAAGTTCTATCCCATCCTTCAAGTAGTCCGGACCTCAATGTTATAGAAACTGTGTGGCATAAAATGAAGCAATATTTAAGAAACCACCCTCAACGAACAATTTTTGATTTGCGGACAAAACTGCAGGAAATTTGGGATAATTTTTCTTCTCAAATGTGCCAATCTTTGGTAAATACAATGCCATTAAGAGTTCAGGCAGTTGTTAAGGCGAAAGATGATGTAACTCTGTATTAAACAATTTTCTTGTTGTGCTGTCCCAATATATAGTTGTCAGCAAATTTGGCTTGATCTTGTCAAAATAAGCTATTATCAAAAGTGATTTATTTGCAAAGTTATAAAAATATAGTAAAATTGTCTAGATCATATTATAATGTTTGAATTTAGAATAATAAACAAAATAAATTGAGTCGTTTTAACAAATTACTATTTTTATTGCAAAAAAGACCTTGTCCCAACATATAGTTGTTAGGGCTCGTATATACAAGGTGGTCCAAACTGTGTTCCGGAAACTTCGACATCATATTCTGCAGATAATAATAAGTAAAACAGTTCGTATAAATGTATGTCCAAAAATGCTTAGTTTCGAAGATACAGGGTGTTAAAGTTTCATTTTTATTTCGATTTTTGCCAAATAATTTCTGAAGTCAATATTTGGATGAAAATTGGTTTTTCGCATGAGAAACAAATGTTGATATCAGTATGACTCCTACTTGTAGAGGACGCCATTTACATATTTTTAACTGGTTTGAAGAGTTATAACTTTTTGTCCGTACCTATATAAAACAACTGAGTAAAAAATATACATTTATGGCTTTTTTTGCGTAAAAAAATCTGGTTCTCGAGATATTTGGAATCGAAATTATGAATACCTGTCATCATTGAAATGACAAATTTGAAATGTTTTTGTGCCAAAAATTCAACAGAAACAGAAAATCATTTTTTCGAAGAAAAATTTATGATTTAAAAAAAAAGTTCCCAAATTTATCATTTCAGTCAAATAACTATCTACTCAACATGTTTATTTTTTTTGTCAATGACATATTGACTATTTCCATTCTAAATATCTTGAGAACGCGCGGTTGGTCGTAGCGATTTTTAGCAAGAGACATTTTTTACGTAAAAAGCACGGAACTGTATATTTTTTCACTCGGTAGTTTTATACAACTACGAACGAAAAGTTATTACACTTCAAAAAAGTTAAAACACATGTAGGTGGCGCCCTTTACAAATAGGAGCCATATTAACATCAAAATCAAGTTTCTCATGACTCCCAGACTCCAATTTTCATCCAAATATTGACGTTACTTCAGAAATTATTGGGAAACAATCTCGAAACAAAAATGAAACTTCTACACCCTGTATCTCCGAAATTAAGCATTTTAGGACATACATTTATAACAACTTTTTGACTTATTTTTATCTGCAGAATATGCTGCCTAAGTATTCGGAATACAGAATACAGTTCGGACCACCCTGTATTTTGGGGCTGTATGTACAACATTAAAAAAAGAACCAAGAAGAATAAGAAATGATCAATCTGGCATTAACCGAAGTCCTTGAAAAACTATTTCCCATCGAAGAAATTAGTAATTTGTAATAATTATTACATTACTTTCTCTCAAAGGTTCTTAAAAAATGTAATAATAATTTTATTTAGTAGTTACTTAAAACTAAAAATATTCCAAAATGTACTAATAATAAATACATTAGTTGTTAATAATTTTATACAAGAGACTAATAGCGCCTGTCCAATGAGAGAATATGTTTAACAATATATATTTTTTCAATTTTTAGATATCTATAGGAATATTCCCTGTCTAGCTGGACCAGACCCCAGACCCTATAATATAAATAAAAAAAAGTATCATCAAAAGCTTACCTGAAAGTAAAGGAACTGAGTGACCTACGGCTCCCCCTAAAGGCGAAGAAAGGGCTGAGTCTTCTAACAAAACTGACGTTTCTGAAGGATATTCGTAGATTTCGGCATCGTCCACGAAAGATATTTTGAGCTGTAACAATTAAGAAAAATTAACAAAAATTAGACAACTCATTCAAAAAAGGAACAGGAAGAGTTACCCAGTACACAACTCTACAAGTTTATCTAATTGATAATAATATAATTTTTGGGCGATTTTTAAATTCATTGTTGCCAACCATGGACATATTCGGTGCCGGGCTGACTATCTGGAATTTAAATTTCCCGCTGGGGATTCAGGTGGTAGCTCTGCTGTAAAAAATATCAAGTTGCCACATTTATTTATTTATTTCCTGACATTGTCATTCGTTTTGACACTTTAGTTTTGTATTACGAGTTTTTAGTTTAAATGAATTGTCTTGTGATACTTTAAGCTTAACAATTTTAACTAGCAGACCTTGCAGTCGAACAATGTTCTTTTTAGAAACTCTTTTAGTGCAAAGTGTACAAGATAGCTTAATAGCCGATGCAAAAAACTCATTGCAACCTTATTAGAATATTTTGAACGGGAAAACGGTAGTAATGGCCCTTTATGTCCCTTATGCTGTTAAGGAAGTGAGTTTTGTTGATGTAATAATAACTGTTTATATATTTATAATTAATTTATTTTTGTTTCCCAAAATATTGTAATAAATAAAATATAAACTATTGTAAATATGTAAAAGTGAATTAAGACTTAAGATTTGTCTTTTAAATCTGACTTGTTGCAGCTGATTGTAGCATTTTATTTAAAATACACATAATTTATATAAATGTACAGAATTATTTTATTTAAATAAATCAAGTTAAAGTCCTCGCACCGAGATGGCATTCTAAGTACTGCTATTATCTTTTATTTTTTTCTTCAAGTTTATTTCTGGCGAAATATTTCAGTCCGGTCGAAGTTTGTTGGTCACTTTATATCTGACGGTGTATAGTCACACTTCGTGCCTACCTTATCTCGCTATATTGGTGGTAAAAGCTCAAACCGATAGAGCTATCGGCGTTTGTTGGCATTTTGCCAATTTGTTTGGGAAAACCCTCTGAGCAGATGTAAGACTTTTATTTTAAACGTAACGTTTCCTAATACCTTTTTTTTGTACAGGATTTTTATTTTATGGTACGCATTTTGTTTTATGGTAGTATTTTCTGGTGCCATTTTGTTTTTTGTACCTGACATTTGGGCCACATTTTGTCCCTACATTTCACACCGGGAATAACGGAGGAATCTCCTGAATCCACATAAGTTTTCGATCCTGTCTGTGCAGAGACGTTTTTATCACAATCCAGTTCCAGTAGCAGTTCACCACAACCAGCTTGTGACCAGAACGGATAAAAAAAGGCCAGATCATTTCATTTTATATCTATTTAATTTAAGTTCATTTGAATGCATTAAGCCCTTTCAGGCATATTATATATTTGATTGCTTTAGAGTCACTTTGAAATATTTTATTCATGTTATGCATATTTCTGATATCTACATAGTACGGTTTTTTAAATATAAAGAGTCCCTACATTTTGGTACCAAGATCGCCAGACTTTTTGCGGAATAATTAATAAAATATTAATATTCAGAAGCGTGCAGATTTAATTTCCATTTTGAGTGATCTATTTTGATACATACAATTTACCAACAAATATTTTCAAACATCAAATTTTTCATAGTCTTATTTTATTCTACTTAACATTTAATTATTAATTATACTTAGTTATTAGTTTATCTCAGCGTTTCATTTGTGTAATTCCTAAAATAAGTAATACCTATATTCTGAGTTGATTTCTCAGTTCTCAACTTAGAAGTTTTCGAAAGTAAATGGAAAACTGAGTGGCGCCCAGTAAATTATAAAGACGTAAGTATCACAATTTAATTTTTACTAGCTTACGACCCATTGCTCACTGGCGAACAGCTCCGTCGCATAGTATTAGTTGTTTTAATATTTTTTGCAAAAGAAAATTCTTATGAAAAAACATTCCATCATATTTTTATAACTTCTAGTGCTACAAAATGGCGCCCAACGTGGGGCGCCATTGCTTGAGTTGCCATATGCTTGAGCCGGGTGTAGTCGAGCCCCACGTTGGGCGCCATTTTGTAGCTTTAGAAGTTATAAAAAAAGATGGAATGTTTTTTTATAAGAATTTTCTTTTGGAAAAAATATTAAACAACTAATACTATGCGACGGAGCTGTTCGCCGATGAGCAATGGGTCGTAAGCTAGTAAAAATTGAATTGTGATACTTACGTCTTTATAATATACTGGGCGCCACTCAGCGTTTCATTTGTGTAATTCCTAAAATAAGTAACACCTATATTCTGAGTTGATTTCTCAGTTCTCAACTTAGAAGTTTTCGAAAGTAAATGGAAAACTGAGTGGCGCCCAGTATATTATAAAGACGTAAGTATCACAATTTAATTTTTACTAGCTTACGACCCATTGCTCACCGGCGAACAGCTCCGTCGCATAGTATTAGTTGTTTTAATATTTTTTCCAAAAGAAAATTCTTATAAAAAAACAGTTTCTTCTAATGCTACAGATTTTGATGGAATTGGGTCATTCTACGACAAAACATCAGAGACTGACCTTTCTGACGGATTAGAATATCGAAAATAATATTTTTTCCAATCGATATAGTAAATAGTTAGTTCCGGAACTGGGTTAATCGCAAATTAGGCCTAATTTAATAACTGGGGCCCGCATAACCATGCCCATAATCTGAATATAATTTAATTTTCATCGGCCATACGCTTCACTTTTCTAATTGTTCTAAATTGATGGGCTTCCTCCAATGCAACGCTCCGAATCATTAACCAAACTGAAACATACCAGGTTTGCTCGAGAATAGTATTCTGTTTGTTTTATTAATTTGTATGATTTCTTGAAATATTTTTTTTAACGGTTTCCTGTTTTACTAATGTTTTCAGTAATCAACTGAATTTTTAAAAAAAAAAACCTAAAGACCCAAAAATTACTATACCGGGTGCGTCTCAAAAGTGGCTCACCCCCTATAACTTTTTTATTTTTTCAGATAAAAAATTGAGATTTGGTATGTTAATATATGACATAAATTAGGATTGATTGACGTATTCAATTGTTCATTGTCACTTCCTGTTTCGCCGGAAATGACTACAACTTTTGATTTTTAAATGATACCATCGGTTTTTTGTTGCTTTATTCGATAGAAAATGAATAGAATGACATATCATATGTCAACTTTGACATTTTCGCATATGGTTTATTTGAAATTATAACATGCGGTTCATAACGATAATTGGACTCGAAGTACCAAGTGTGTGGTATCAAATTAATCGTAAAAAAAATGCTTTTTCCAAATATGCTAATGAGCCACCCTCGTTCCATTTGAAAAAATTGAGATGTGATTAAAAATACGATTTGGGCATCTTTTAACCAGCCAGGACAAGACATGAATCACATTAGACGATCAAATGTATTTTTCCAAGACTCCTTAATTAAAAATTAGTGTTTTTAACACAGCCATGGCACTCTAAATTGAAATTTAAAATTCAATTTTGTTTTAAACAATTTTTGTTTAAAATGTCAAAAGTTGACATGTGATATGTGATTCTATTCAGAATGTCATTTTCTATCGAATGAAGTAAAAAAATACCGGGGGTGCCATTTAAAAAAGAAAAGTTGTAGTCATTTCCGGCGAAACAGGAAGTGACAGAAAACAAATGAATATGTCAATCAATCCTAATTTATGTCATATACTAACATACCAAATCCCGTTGTTTTATCTGAAAAAATAAAAAAGTTATGGGGGTGAGCCACTTTTGAGTCGCACCCGGTATATGTATGTATTACAAAAAAGGTTCAAAATCATCAACTATAATTTTTATATGCGTATTATTGGTGGTAGCTTATTTTATTGTGATATCAGTGGAGCATACGTTATATGTATGTGTTCTAGTTACATCATTATAGCAATCACAAAAAAACGATCTAAATTTTCAAATCGATGCTTTGCATATGAAGCTACGAAACATATAATGAAAAAATAAAAAGAGTTACCAAATAGAGGAAGTGGCTATAATAGAAAGCGGCATTCGGTAGTAGTAAACTTGACGCTGGAGGTCGAATGATACATATTTTAAACACATGTTTCCTTCCGGTTTTACAAAAAAAAATTGAATAGAACTATTTGGCACTGTGCATCTACAGGGGGTTTCTTAACGCAATTCTAAAATGTACATTTAAAACTTATATAAATTTCAGTATGTAATATTATGACCCGGTCGAAAATAATGTTATTAAAAATATTAAATATTTTACAAATTTTGGAGGTTGCATCACTTACATTAGGTCCTTCGTACAGTATTCGCATTTTATTTTGTCCCGCTTTTAGCAGCGTTTATTTTTTTGAAGCGAATCCACCTCCAATAAAAATAAAGCTATTGAGATGAATCAAAAAACAAACTATCGAAAAAAGATGTACCTACCTAGATGATAAAATGATTTTTAAATTCCTTGCTTTGTTAACATATTCCACAGAGTGTTTCAAACTTTCATCAAAATATCAACATTTTGTTTTCCCTTGTATAACTGACAGATGGAAACATTCATTTTTAATTTAGAAGAAGATAATAAAAAGTCAAATAATTTACTTACAAATTTCTTAAAAAATCATCAAAATCGGTTAACTAGAGCCATATATAAAATTTTAAAATACCTACATGAAAATTTTAAGGCGCCTGTTTTTCGTGCCGGTGAGTGTATTTTATCCAAATGGGGCTTGATATTTATAGTAACATTTAATTTCACTTATTAAATAGCGTTTGAAAGATTTATATATTCAGTATATATCAGATCATTCGGAAAGAAAGTACTTTCATATGGCTTCCTTGATTGTTTTAGAGAGAAGCAAAAAGAAATTATTTCCTGTTCACATAATAGGACGTTGTCGCCGTATATTTCAATATTAATGACAGTAGTTTTTTATATTGTATGAAACTGATATAAGTATTGTTACGTTTATACTCGGTTCTGTGTGGATAAAAAGTCTAAATTTATTTAACACAATTTATTTTCACTAATTAACA